GGCTGTTTTAGTAGTTGAGCCTTCTGGAGGCCTGTTGGTCCCCAACAATTCCTGTGTGACCCCAGCTCTTGGCCCTTCTGAAACATGGATGAAGAGACTGCAGGCCACCTACCTGCCCACCATTTTTTTTTGTGTGTGTGTATGTGAGATGTTGTCTACCCTAGTTCTTAGATTGCCCAAAATATTGTCCAAGATCATTGTATTTAAAGGTTTATGTTTTTATTTGTGTATGTGTCTCTGTGAATATATGTGGGTGCCTTAGGAGGCCAGAAGAGGGGTCAGATATGCAACTGGAATTACAAGCAGTTGTGAGTCACTTGATATGGGTGCTGGGAACTGATCTTGGGTCCTCTGAAAGAGCAGCAGGTGCTTAGCCAGCGGAGTCACCTCTCCAGTCCCAGGAAGACTATTTTAAACTGCAACAAATGTTAAAAAGGACAGCCAGAACAGTTCAGGGATGTAAGAGAGTCTGCGCAGAGACAGATCCATGGGGACAGGTACTAGAGTAAATGATCCTGCTTGTTCTTCACTCCCCAGTATTTCCTGATCTCATCTCATCATGGGCTGCAGAGATGGCTTATGGGGCAAAGCACTTGCTGCACATGCAGTACCACTGAGTTCTAGCCCCAGAAGCCACAAGAAGAGCTGGATGCAGTAGTGCATGCATCTGCAATCCCATCATGCCCCTCTTGGGAGACGGGAGGCAAAGAGAGAACTGCCAGAAGTTCATAGGTCAGCTGGCCTGGTAGACACAGCCGTGAACAGGAGACCCCTCCAGACACTAGGCTGAAGGCAAGGACTGACACCCATGGCCGTTATCTGACCTTCACATGCACCACAGCACAGTATGCATGCGCATACACACACACACACACACACACACACACACACACACACACACGGTCATTAAGGAGCTTACAATATAGGGAAGAAATCAGCTACCCAGCCTCCATGACACCTACGCTTGGCATTCAAGTCAGATAGGCTCAGCTTGATAGCTTACAAGCTGACCTTGCCAGCCCCTTGTCATATTGGCAGCAAAGGAATTTTAACCTGCCAGGCTCAGTGATGAACCAATTCAGTGAAGAACTCTGGGAGAAGCATTTACATAAAATGTGCCGGTTGGCTAAGCTCAGACACAGGCTGCAGCTGAATACTTCATGACGGCAAACACTAGCTGGAGACTGATTCTTGGGTGAATTTCACCAAGACCTTGTAACTGTAGAAATGCTTACCAGAAAGGGTGGGTGTCTCTATTATCTATTGTCGTGTAAAAACCATTCCAGATGCTGAATGACTTAAACCAGTACCATTTTATGGGTTGAAATCCTGGGTTCCTTGTGTTTGGCTTTGCCCAAGACTCCCTCAGGTGAGGACCAGGCTGTGTTGCAGGACTTTTCTCTCCTTGGGGGTCTTTCATAGAGGTTAGACTGGGGTTCTTTGTGGTAATCTTAGGAGGACACCCACCAAAAGAGCAGGGAGTAAGAACTCAGTTCCTAAGATCTCATAATATACCCACAGGTCAAAGTGGTCACATAGTTAGCATGGGAGGGGGCCATCTTAGGGTGGGCATACTTCTTCCAAGTCAGGGGAGTGCTGGGTGATTAATGCCTCTTGACCTTTGAAATAGGCAACTCTAACATGTAAATGACGGTCCTTTCACTAGGACGCAAAACAGGTGCTTGCCAAACATAAAGGAACTTGGAGTCATCTTATTAAAAGGCGGATTTCTTCAATGCTTCATAAAAATACTTGTGAATTTTTGGCAGTGGACTTGGGAAGTTATGTACAGCATATTTAGCGGAAAAAGTGCTGCAGACTAAACCTTGAGGCTTACTGACTTTATATAAACTGCATGCCATTCCTGGTGCCCTAGATGGAGGATACCCGTGCATGTCACACCCATCAGAGCTCAAACTTGAGGACAAAGTCTTCCCCTCACACCGTTTCTTACCCTGGAGTTTGGTGTCTTGGGTGTAGTGACAAAATCTATCTTGTGTGGGGGCGGGGTGAATGGGCTGGCCAAGGCCGGCAATGTAGTTTCTTTTAACTGGTTCTTTACTCATTTGTGGGTGTCTGAAGCTGAACCACACACGGCGGTGCAAAGGTGGCTTAAGGTAGGAAGGCCGCAAGGCACAAGTGTGGGGGTTTTTAAGCTGGGGTACTGAGTCATTAGTCTTAATCGGTTCATTTGTATTGTTACTCCTTATTTGAGGTTAGGCCAGAAGGCAACTGCAGAGAGGATAGCCTCTGCCCATTGCCTCACGTTTATGGGTGTTGGGCTGTATGTTCTGAGTAGTAGTATTGAACAGAAATGGTGAGTGTCTGTAGTGGTGGCTTTCTGAATCTCTTCAGATCTCTGTATCAACCAAAAAAAATTCTGTAAGACCATAAATTGGGGGAGTTTTACCAATACTAAAGACTGGTGGGGATTTATGTGAATGAATGCTTAGGACAGATGAGTAAAGTGGTCTTTTTTTTCCCCCTTTAGGGTGTCCTTGATCGTTTGGAATTGGATCTTTAGAAACGTGGATCAGGGCCCACAACACTGAATAGTTTGTCCTATGTGCTTGCTAACTACACTGATAGTGTTTTATGAAACACCCGTGTGCTCTAGAGGTCACCTCATCTACCGGCAGTCCTTCTTAAAGGATCGGCAACAAGCTCTGGAGGAAACCTGGGCAGTGCCACAGCTCTTAACAAACCAGTGTATCAGCGAGACTCTGGAGGAGAGACAGGAGAGGCCTTGTTCCCAGAGTTAACTTGGCTTATCAGGGGCAGAGCTACCACGTGGGGTTTTAAGGATGTCCTTAAGGTGGTGGTGCACACCTTTAATCCCAGCACTCAGGAGGCAGAGGTAGGTGGATCTCTGTGAGCTCGAGGCCAGCCTGGTCTACAGAGCAGGACAGTAAGGCTACACAGAGAAACCCTGTCTGGGGGGAGGGACCACAAACAAACAACAACAAAAAACCCAACAAAACAAAACAAAACAAAACAAATCTCAACAAAACCTAAGATACAAAGATGTCCTCAAGTGAAAACATCGCCTTTTTAGGGGCTGGAGAGAGAGCGAGGAAGTTAAGAGCATTTGCAGTTCTCCCAGGGGACTCAAGTTTTAGTTCCAGTGTCAGAAAGCTCAGAACCTAGGGTAACTGAAACTCCAGGGGATCTGGTGCCCTCTTCTGGCGTCCTCAGGGAACACATGCGTACGTGTAAACAAAAACCTTAAAAACTAGCCCTTATTTTGTGTGTGTCCCTGTGGGCCTGCAGGTACCTGTGCACGTGGAGGTCAAAGGCCAACACCAGTGGTCTTTCCTCTATGGCTGAGACCTTGTTTTTGAGACAGGCTCTCTCATGGAACCTAGATCTCAACCTTTTAGCTCGGCTAGCAGGTCAGAGAGAAAAGAGTTCAGGAATGTTCTTTTCCCCCACTAGGATTTTGAGACACAGACAGAGAGAGAGAGAGTCAGACAGAGCGAAAAAGAAAGAGATAGAGAGAGCTGGCAATATGCTCAGGATTTATGGAGATGCAGAGATCTGAACTTAGGTCCCAATGCTTGGGTGGCCAGTAATTTACAGACTCATCTCCTTAGACCCCCAAAGTAGCCTTCTTACACATGTGTTTTTTCATCCTGCGATGGACCAGTAATAAAATAAGTAAGCGCCACGGCTATGCTAAGTGCTGTACAAGATCTCTGTGGATCTTCAAACCACAATATCAGGAAGTAGGTTTATGACTATTATGGATGAGTTCATTTTTGACAAAAGGAAATTGGTAATCCTGAGCCAGTGGTTGCTTTAAATCCTGTGTTTGGCTACAAGTCCTTAGTAACATTTAGCTTAGCGCCCTGTGGGGCTTTAATACTGATGAGATAAGGAGCAAGGAATCCCATTTTATTTATGATAAACTCAACATGTGTGCACATGTATAATTTACAAGAAACAAACACTGTTGTCGGAGCATCCCCTTGAGGCGTGAAAGCCTACTTGCATGGGAGGGGAAGGATCTGTATTTTTATTTTGCTTCCTCATAAACCCCAGGCACAGGTCACAGCAAAAACTTCCACCATCAGGCACTGACCTGCTCCTGATAAGAAATGGTGCAGCTTTCTGAATGTCCTCAAAGACCACCAGAAAACAGTTCTGCAAGGGTGGAAGCCAGCGCCTCCTGTCTCTTCTCAGTCATGTAGAATTTAGAACTTATACTCACTCCCCAAACCCTACCCCTTCCCTTCCCCCTCACCAAAGGCGGAGGCGCGGCTGGGTGTACCTGGCCTGTTGGCAGTTGACCGTGCGATAAAGCACTTCGCTTTGGCGAGCCAGACCCCCAGCTCCCACTCACTGGTTCCCAGACCCGGGGTGCGGCAGGCCTGGCTGCCTCCGCCGGGCCCCGCCAGCGACGCGTGCGTGCCTGCATCTGGCGGGCCGGGCGCCCAGGCCTGCGGGGCGCCCGCGGGGTGCAGGGTGCCGCGTGGCCCGGCGCCGCGTTAGGGTTAGGGCGCTGGATTCGGCTTCCCGGCGGCAGAGGGCGCCTGGCGCCGCGTTCCCGCGCCCCGGAGCCGCCCGCGAGGCGCGAGCAGAGGCGAGGCGGGTGAGCGGCGGCCCCTGCCACGTACCCGGCCGTGCGCGGCGGCGGCAGGTGGGCGCGGGGGCTGCGGGGACCGCGCGGCTGCGGGCGGGGCCTCGGCGCGCGGCTGCGGGAGGCCGGGGCGCCGCGGGGGGCGCGCGCTGGCAGGCGGGACGGCTCCGCGCTCCCCGCCGCGCCTTCCGGGCCGGGCCGGGAAAAGTTGGGGCGGCTGGCTGGCTTCGGGGCCGGGCGGGAAGTGTGGCGCGGGCGGCCGAGGCCCCGCGCGGCCCGCAGAGGGGCGCGGGGTTGCAGGTGGCGGCGGGCGGCCGGGCAACCCGGGAAGGCGGCGGGGACGAACTGGCCTCTTCCCGGCTGCGGCCCAGGGGCCCGGCCCAGAGTTGGGGGCCCCTCGTGGCGTCCGGGGCCCCCGTGGGGAAGGAGCCTAGCGTGGTTTCCTGCGTCGCGGGCTCCAGGACCGCCCCTCCCGGTGCTTCATTCACCTCACACTGCGGTGCGTTTGTCCTGGGGAAGTTGAGCGGGCCGCGGAGTGAACGGTACGTGTAGGGTGTTCCGAGGAGAGTGGGATGGGACCGCATGGAGCACGCACACCCACCCACCCTCTCCTTCCCGGCTCAGCGCTGCGAAAGTCCGGGCCCCCTAGCGTTTAAGAGATTCCCGGGGCTGGGCCAGCAGCTGCCCAGAGCCACACAGCACATCTAGGCATAGTGTGTGGATAGGAGACGTGGCCTCTGATTTTCTGTCTGTCGTTGGATACTTCCCAAACAAGGTTTCAGCGGATGCCCACGTATGTTAGGACAACCTATGCGGTGCCCTTTTGATGAACCCGATGACCCTTCCCACCTCTAAATAAACTTAGTATCCAAGACACTTATTTGCCAAGTCCAGCACAGTAGCACACAGCTGTGGGCCCAGGCCAGGGGCCTCTTGGGTCCTTGAGAGAATCTCAGTGTACCAGCGGGACTTGACCTTGGGTTAGCCCTCTGGACCTCAGTGTTGTTATCTGTGCAATAGGAGAGAAAAGCCGGATAGTTTGTGGGAGGCAGGAATAGGTTTCTGTGGAAGACTGAAGTGTAGTCTTGTGCTCTCTGGAAGAAACTGCGATAGTTTTAGAGGAAAGCAGAAGTGGAAAAGATTGACCACACAAAACCAAAACGTCTTTCTTGGTAGGAGGTGTACATTGTGAGTGCTGTGTATCCCGGCGGTGCCTGTTCCGGGCTGCCCATTTGTCTTTGCTGTAAAGCAGCTGTAAAACTGAGAACACACTGAACATATCACCCATGGGCATGAACGGTTTCTTTTTTTAGCTTTCAAGCCCGGGGTGGTCGCTGAGTTGGCTTGATGGAGCCTTCCCTGAAGGACGTGTCCAGATCTCATTATCCTTCTGTCTGAGCCTCGAGCACCTGCAGCCCTGCCATCTCTTCTGTCCCCAGCTTAGGAGTAGCGGGCCGATGCCCTATTGAGTGTGGTGTTTCGGAACTAAGCCGGTTTCTTTCACGTGAAAGTAGTAAATAAATAGGCATGCGATATGCGTGGGTGCAGCCGGGAAGAAATAGCTTCAAGGAGCCGTGTGTGCTGTGTCTGCACCATCTCATACCCCAGGACCTCAGCAGCCCCTCTTCTGAACTTGGGTGTTGAGGGCGGTCACAGAATCACAGTAACCAGCTTATTAACTACCGAGCTGTGTGGGCAGGTGGGGAGGATTTTCGGGTTCTATCATAACAATGTTCTCCTGCCTGCTTCCATTTTCAGCTTTCAGAATCCACATTGGTTTGATTTGGCCATGTCATTTTTGGTAATCCTTAACCATGTTTTGCTAGTTTCTTGGGAGGGGCAGTAGATGTTAAGTTTAACATAGTATAAAATAATATTTTAAACACTTAAGGACTTGACTAATTACAGCCAACCCTTAAAATATCTGTATTGTTGCCAGGTGGTGGTGGCACATACCTTTAATCCCAGCACTTAGGAGGCAGAGACAGGCAGATCTCTGACTTCAAGACTAGCCTGGTCTACAGAGCTACAGGATAGGCTCCAAAACTACGGAGAAACCCTGTCTCAAAAAACAAAAAAACAAAAACAAGTATATGTATACATACATACGTACATGCATCTGTATTGTGTGCATGTGTGAATATGACCTTAACAGAGACTGCTGAATTAACAAAAATCATGTTTTCCAATATAGTTACCATTTGCATCCTGACTTTTTAGACTTGGCGAAGCGGAATGGGCTTCGGTTCACAGGTGAGAAAGCAAAGCCAAGAGGCCAAGTTTTGGGTCACTGCAGCTTCTCTGCATCCAGACAGCCTTTGGCAGCTACGGAAAGCGATCCTTATCTGTCTAAAAAGGTTGCAATCTCTAGGCGACATCACAAACCTGAAAATCCACATGCTCTTACTCAGGATGCTGCCCCATGAGCACTGGAGGACACTGGACGCTGCCTGTTAAGTGAACGTGGAGCATAGTGGGCCCAGGTGTATGTCTTGAGCCCTTGGCCTCATGCTGGCCTGTGATCTGCCATGCTGCTCTCTCTCACCTGAGAATGCTGGGTGAAGGCTGGCCCCTCCTCTCTCTCCCTGCTCAGGCACTCCAGATAATGGGATTGATTAAGTCTTCCAGGAGGAATTGTCCTCAGGGGAGAAAGGCTTTTTAAAGTACATTTTTGTTCTTATGAATAATTCCTCCGGCTATTGCCTCCCCATGCCAATCCCAGCATACACAGAGAACATTCCAGGGCCTTGGGCTATGGATGGGTTCTAGAAGGAAGTGAACAAAATCCGTAGCCAGAAAGGGCAAGTCCTGTGTTGGTAGATGGAGGTGGTTATAGCTAGTTTTCTTTTGCTCATTTTCTAGATTTCTCTTTGTTTTTGGACAAGGAAAAGATAACTGGATTTGGCGGCTTCTGGGACCCTGGAAGAGGGTTGAGGGTAGGAGCAGGAACGGGCTGGAAGGTCATGGAGGAAGCGAATCTGACTGAGAGTGGATTTAGATGAGGAAGCTCTTCCCACCAAGTCCTCTGCCTCTGCTGGGGCTTTGAAGTTTTTCACTCTAGGCAGATTGTGACTTGCCTTAGTGGCAACAGCAGTGAATTTTTGTAGTCAGTTGTGTGCGAAAAAGGAAATTAAATTCCGAGAGGGTGTTTGTTGTGACGGATGCCAGTATTTTTATTAGGATCTACTCAGTCTATAAATGTACCTTCTAGTTCCCTGAAGGTATTTATTTTTTTAAAAAGTTTTTAAGCCATGGAAATGTCTCTGTTGTGAGTCTCTGAACTGTCACCCTCGTAAAATTTTGAAACAAATTCCAAACATCTGAGGAATTTATATTTTAACCTGTTCCTTCCCGGTTCTTACATTGCTTTAATAATGGGTTAATTTTGGTTTCTTTTACATTTTGCAAGCCCAGTTTTTACACCATAGAGCTTACTTCTGCCCAATTTTTGCTCACTGTGCAGAGGTGGTGTGGACATAAAGAACAGAGTGTACTGAACCAGACTGGGGACAGCTGGATTGCTTGGAGAGCTCAGATGTCCTGACATGGCCATGACTCTGACAACACACCTGAGAGGCCTGTCCTATAATGCACAAAGCATGGGCAGTGATGGCTCACAGGCACATGGGTCTCACAGACATGAAAGTCTGACATGTTGTCTCCAGCGCTCAGAAGCATGCTTGGCGAATTTGAGTCTGTCATAGATGTGATGGTTCAGAGACACGTGACCAACAAATGGTCAGCCTTAGACTATGGCCTGTGCATACATTGATTCTGGGCAGGGTGGGCTGTGCTTACTCTTCTTAGGATAGGATACCACCACTGTCATGGAGTTTGGAAGCATCATTGGTAGAAAGTGGCAAGTCTACACAAGGAGTGTTAAGCGCAGCAAATGGAAATTAGCAGCGAAAAGAGTCCATTAATATAGTGGGCTCGAAACACAGCCCACATGAAAAATACAGCACTGTGATCCTGTGATGGGGAAGGAGCACACTCTGGGGACCCTGTGATGGGGAGGTGTACAGTGTGGGGACCCTGTGATGGGGAGGTGTACAGTGTGGGACCCTGTGATGGGGAGGTGCCCGGTGTGGGGACCCTGTGATGGGGAGGTGCACGGTGTGGGACCCTGTGATGGGGAGGTATACAGTGTGGGACCCTGTGATAGGGAGGTGCAGTGTGGGGACCCTGTGATGGGGAGGTGCACGGTGTGGGACCCTGTGATGGGGAGGTATACAGTGTGGGGACCCTGTGATGGGGAGGTGCATGGTGTGGGACCCTGTGATGGGGAGGTATACAGTGTGGGGACCCTGTGATGGGGAGGTGTACAGTGTGGGACCCTGTAATGGGGAGGTATACAGTGTGGGGACCCTGTGATGGGGAGGTGTACAGTGGGGGACCCTGTGATGGGGAGGTGCACAGTGGGGGACCCTGTGATGGGAAGATGCAGTGTTTGGGGTCTTGATCTTTGGATGCTGCAGTGCAGAGGAGCCATTTCTAGATGCTCATTTTTCTCAGTTTTGAGTTCTGAGCCTGGTGATGCAAGAGGAAGTCTGCAGTAGCCGGTGTGGTTTCTGTTGTTATCTTGCTGCCAGCTAGAGACAGGTGTCTGAGTGTGACCAGAAAGGCCTTTTCTGTGGCCTTTGACCTTATCATTTTCAGAAGGTTTTTTAGGATTGAAGTTGGGCTTCTTAGACCCCACTTAGGGATGGATGTAGCCTAGTTTCAGAGTGGTTTGCATCCCGGTCATTGCTGGTCCCCAAGCAGACACTAGGGTTAGTCCTCAGTTTTCTATGCTTGCCTGTGTGGGATTGCTGGGGAAGGCAGTGCTGACACCTGTGCTATGCTTAGTGACCAGCTCTGAGGAATGGAGGGTATCTTCCCTCGGGCAGTGGTTCCCAACCTTCCTATTGCTCTGAGGAATGGAGGGTATCTTCCCTCGGGCAGTGGTTCCCAACCTTCCTAGTGCTCTGAGGAATGGAGCTTATCTTCCCTCGGGCAGTGGTTCCCAACCTTCCTATTGCTCTGAGGAATGGAGGGTATCTTCCCTCGGGCAGTGGTTCCCAACCTTCCTAGTGCTCTGAGGAATGGAGGGTATCTTCCCTCGGGCAGTGGTTCCCAACCTTCCTAATGCTGCAACCCTTCAAATCAGTCCTCAGGTTGTGAGGTCCCCCAGCCATAACATTCTTTCATTGCTACTTCATAACTCTAATTTTGCTAGTGCTATGAATTGTAGATATATGATATGCAGGATATGTGATCTGTGACTCCTACAAGGATCGAGACCCTCAGCTTGAGAACCGCTGCTCTCAGCTCTGTAGCGTGCGCAGCAGGGGCTGGCAAACTCAGGTGGAGCAGCTTATGAGCCCTGGGACTTGGGTGCCTGGAATTTTTGCACGAACACACTCTTCACAAATCTTGGGACCTCTCCCCTGTCTGTGCTGAGATGGTAGTGAACTTGCTTATGGCCTTTTGCTTTCTGTTTGCATTCTTCTTTGTTCTAGTCACACTGGGGACTTGTTGGCCAGATTCTGGCTTTGTCTGG